GATCCAAAGTGTGGAGAAGATCACAGGACAGAAGAACGTAAAGAAGAAAAGGAGAAGTGTTGTAACTGTGGAGGACAACATAGAGTTACATGTGGAGGGTGTGAAGTGAAGAAAACAGCAGAAGAAATCCAACAGGTGAAATAAGTAAAAGCACCACATGTACAGAGGCAGTGAAAGTGTCAAAGAACAAAAGACGAGAGCGACAGGACAAACAGAACCAGAACCACAACAAAGTACCAGGAAACAGGAAACAGAGGAAAACATCACGATGCCAGTTGAAAACCTGATATTCAACATTCAAATATATTACTGATGGAGAGCTGCAGAAAACTGATCTGTCAACAGACGGTAATCAATCAATCAATCAATCAATCAATCACCTTTATTTTACCAGGTAGAGCCCGTTGAGATCGAGATCTCTTTCACAAGGGTGACCTGGTCAAGTGGTCATCAGCGCACGTCACAGGGTAATTGACAATAAGCATTTACATTTATCAAAAGAAAAAAGAAACTACTATCACGATAAATAAATGTTAAAGTTTGAAACCATCAGGATAAGACAGACTTCTGTAGACATTAAATGTAGAACAGTGTAGATGAACAGATGCTCAGATATATTCATCAATTAACACGGATTCCTCATTTTTCTGGACTGAATAAAACGTGCATTGAATTTAATGAAATGCAAACGTGAGACGTCATTTATATTTGACCCATCAAAATGAATGCGGTCATTTATTTACAGAATCAAAGTTTAACATCAAACATTTACATTAATTTGGCAAATTATGAAAATAACAACATAATCAATCAATCAGGAAAAATCATACGGCCATGATTTTTCCGTTGCGTCACCACAGACATTTATGAAAACTGTACAATTATGATCTTTTACCCACACGGATGTGGATGAGCACTTTACACAGACATTTCTAAATATCTGGAAGAATATCTACTTGAGAGAGGAGTTTAAAGATGGGAAAGAAGTTTAGAGGGAGTAAGATGGTGTTTGAGGGAGAGTGTTGACAGAACGGCACTCTCCGGGCTTTCTTCAGCTTCTCCCTTACAGTACACTTAGGTGGTGAAATCGACTCTTTTACCTGGAGATGTCTCAGGCGAGATTCCGTTTAACGCACCCTTCAGCGTCTCCGTAGGATGCTGTTACTCGTCCGGAGTAGCGGCGAGATGCTGTCCCTCACAGCTCACCTCAGTGGAAAATGTTATAATCCCATGAAACTCGGAAGAGCTCTGTTGTCATGTCAGGATCTTCCCGGCCCCCAGAACTGGGCTTCTCCGCACAGAACTGAACAGAACTGAACTCAACCGAACCGAGTAGAACCCTCACAGAACTCTCACAGAACTGGCAGAACTGTGTATCCAACAGAACTCCAACAGAACTGAGTAGACCAGGAAGTACCGACATTTTAAAGAGCTCTTTTTCCCGGTTCATCTGGGAGTATTCCCATTGGCCAGAACCGACCAGACGGGGTGTGTTTTGTGACGTAAAAGGTTAGAATGCAGCAAGAATTGTTATGGAACAGATCAGAAATGTTCTCACAGACAGAGAGAGTTTTGTTTTGGCGAGTTTCAGAAACAGGTGCAAAAACCCCCCTGTTGACGTCTGAGAGGATATAAACAGGACAGTTGTTCCAACACATGTCTGCTTCACTCCTGACCCTGGAAACGTACACTTTGCTCATTCAAAGGCAGAAATCAGAAAATTCATAAAAATCTGTAACAGACCTCAACATGAATTCTAACTTTGCATGAGAATTAAAAATCATTTCACAGTTAATAAAATTGATTAGTTCACTGCAACATCTAAAATGGTTTGAACTAAGACACTTTGATTATCAACATTTGTAAAATAGTAATGATAATAAAAAGAGAGTGTTCTTTCACTTGAATATCAAGAAAGAGAGTCTCAGGATGGGTGAACCTGTATCTCTGGATTCAAATCAATGAAATGACAGTTTCTGTCCCACAAGGTTCTTAAGGTCAAGGGTTTTGACCTTAGGCTTAGTCGTGACACCAGATTAAGTTCACTACAACAGACATCAGGTTAAGTATACAGAGTTAAAAGTGAACAAAGACATGTATATTTGATAAGTAGTGCTTTAGAAACATCTGCAATGGTCCAGATTTTAGATAACATTATCTGATGTTCTGATGTATCTAATGTTTGTATATGTAAGATTATACAGGAAGCTACAGAACATTTGATAAAAAAAGGTGGAAGAACGAGTGAAAAGAAGAAAGTACCTTGGTGGACAAATGAATGTAACAAATCCATAAAGAAAAGAAATAAAACATTTAAAGCACTAAAAAGAAATCCTAGTTATCAGAACTTCATTGAATATAAAAGAAAACAAGCAATGGTAAGAAAAATCATCAAGAATGCAAAGAGGGAATATTGGAGAAACTTCTGTAATACTATTGGAAAAGAAACAAAAATTGAAAAAATCTGGAAAATGATAAAAAGAATGAATGGCATCAAAAAAGAATATGGATATCCAGGATTAAATGTAGATGGCACTGCAGTAGTAAATGATAAAGAAAAAGCTGAAATACTAGCAACAACATTCAGTAAAATTCATAGTTCCAATAAGATTAGTAATGAAGGAAAGAGAGGGAGGGAAACTACAAAGTTAAAATACAAAGATTTAATGAAGAATATGGAAGAAACTGATAATTTATTGAACGAACCTTTTCAAAAAGCAGAACTGAGTCGAGCACTCAGGAAAACCAAACAAACAGCACCTGGAAAAGATCAGATATGGTTCACCATGATAGACCACCTTAGTGGCAAATCCAAAGAACTAATTTTAGAACTATACAACAAAGTGTGGGAAGAGGGGGAGCTACCACAAAGCTGGAAAGAAGCAGTCATCATACCAATAGCAAAACCAGGAAAGGATCATACAAAGCCGAAAAATTACAGACCAATAGCACTAACATCAAATATATGTAAAATAATGGAAAAAATGATCAATGATAGACTAACGTATTATTTGAACAGTAAGGGATACATATCTAAACATCAAAGTGGTTTTAGAAAAGGGAGAAACACCAATGATGCAACATTACAGTTAGAACACGAGATCAGGAGAGCACAGATAAATAAAGAAAGTGTGGTTGCTGTATTCTTCGACATAGAAAAGGCAGATGATATGTTATGGGCTAAAGGTTTATTAATTAAAATGTACAAACTAGGAATTAATGGAAGAATGTTCAGATGGATACAAAACTTTTTAACAAAAAGATCGATACAAGTAAGAATACAACAAGAATATCCAAAGAAATACTTTGTGGAAAATGGAACACCACAGGGAAGTATTATAAGTCCATTACTATTTTCTATAATGATAAATGATGTTTTTACAGAGATTGAGAAGGGGGTGGGATGTTCATTATTTGCAGATGATGGAACCATTTGGAAAAGAGGAAAAATATAAAATTCACTGTGAAGAAAATACAAGAGGCGATATTAAAAATTGAGAAATGGGCAAATGATTGGGGATTCAAATTTTCAGTAGATAAAACAAAAGTAATGATATTTACACAGAAAAGAGTCAACAAAGAGATTAAATTGAAATT